ACGATGGTGACGATGACGACGATGACGACGATGGTGACGATGGTGACGATGACGACGATGGTGACGATGGTGACGATGTCGACGATGACGACGATGGTGACGATGGTGACGATGACGACGATGGTGACGATGACGACGATGGTGACGATGTCGACGATGACGACGATGACGACGATGTCGACGATGACGACGATGGTGACGATGGTGACGATGACGACGATGACGACGATGACGACGATGGTGACGGTGGTGACGATGACGACGATGACGACGATGGTGACGATGGTGACGATGACGACGATGACGACGATGGTGACGATGGTGACGATGTCGACGATGACGACGACGGTGACGATGGTGACGATGGTGACGATGTCGACGATGACGACGATGACGACGATGACGACGACGGTGACGATGTCGACGATGACGACGACGGTGACGATGTCGACGATGACGACGACGGTGACGATGTCGACGATGACGACGACGACGATGACGACGATGGTGACGATGACGACGATGACGACGATGACGACGACGGTGACGATGGTGACGATGTCGACGATGACGACGACGACGACGACGATGATGGTGACGATGACGACGACGACGACGACGATGGTGACGATGGTGACGATGACGACGATGGCGACGATGGTGACGATGACGACGATGGCGACGATGGTGACGATGGTGACGATGACGACGATGGCGACGATGGTGACGATGGTGACGATGACGACGATGGTGACGATGGCGACGATGGTGACGATGACGACGATGACGACGATGGTGACGATGGTGACGATGACGACGACGACGACGACGACGGTGACGATGGTGACGATGGTGACGATGACGACGATGGTGACGATGACGACGATGGTGACGATGTCGACGATGACGACGATGACGACGATGGTGACGATGTCGACGATGGTGACGATGGTGACGATGACGACGATGACGACGATGACGACGATGGTGACGGTGGTGACGATGACGACGATGACGACGATGGTGACGATGGTGACGATGACGACGATGACGACGATGGTGACGATGGTGACGATGACGAAGATGGTGACGATGGTGACGATGACGACGATGACGACGATGGTGACGATGTCGACGATGACGACGATGACGACGATGACGACGATGGTGACGATGTCGACGATGACGACGATGGTGACGATGGTGACGATGACGACGATGACGACGATGGTGACGATGTCGACGATGACGACGATGACGACGATGGTGACGATGTCGACGATGACGACGATGGTGACGATGGTGACGATGACGACGATGACGACGATGGTGACGATGGTGACGATGACGAAGATGGTGACGATGACGACGATGTCGACGATGACGACGATGACGACGATGGTGACGATGGTGACGATGACGACGATGGTGACGATGGTGACGATGACGACGATGACGACGATGGTGACGATGGTGACGATGACGACGATGGTGACGATGGTGACGATGTCGACGATGACGACGATGGTGACGATGGTGACGATGACGACGATGGTGACGATGACGACGATGGTGACGATGTCGACGATGACGACGATGACGACGATGTCGACGATGACGACGATGGTGACGATGGTGACGATGACGACGATGACGACGATGACGACGATGGTGACGGTGGTGACGATGACGACGATGACGACGATGGTGACGATGGTGACGATGACGACGATGACGACGATGGTGACGATGGTGACGATGTCGACGATGACGACGACGGTGACGATGGTGACGATGGTGACGATGTCGACGATGACGACGATGACGACGATGACGACGACGGTGACGATGTCGACGATGACGACGACGGTGACGATGTCGACGATGACGACGACGGTGACGATGTCGACGATGACGACGACGACGATGACGACGATGGTGACGATGACGACGATGACGACGATGACGACGACGGTGACGATGGTGACGATGTCGACGATGACGACGACGACGACGACGATGATGGTGACGATGACGACGACGACGACGACGATGGTGACGATGGTGACGATGACGACGATGGCGACGATGGTGACGATGACGACGATGGCGACGATGGTGACGATGGTGACGATGACGACGATGGCGACGATGGTGACGATGGTGACGATGACGACGATGGTGACGATGGCGACGATGGTGACGATGACGACGATGACGACGATGGTGACGATGGTGACGATGACGACGACGACGACGACGACGGTGACGATGGTGACGATGGTGACGATGACGACGATGGTGACGACGACGACGATGGTGACGATGGTGACGATGACGACGATGGTGACGATGACGACGACGGTGACGACGGTGACGATGACGACGATGACGACGATGGCGACGATGTTGACGATGGCGACGATGTTGACGATGGCGACGATGGCGACGATGGCGACGATGGCGACGATGGCGACGATGGCGACGATGGCGACGATGTTGACGATGTTGACGATGGCGACGATGGCGACGATGTTGACGATGTCGACGATGTCGACGATGTCGACGATGGCGACGATGGCGACGATGGCGACGATGGCGACGATGGCGACGACGGTGACGATGACGACGGGCAGCAAGCCGCTCGGCCACGTCGCCCCTCGTTCTGCGCGTACGGTCTTCTCTCCTGTAACGCCGCGAGCGCTTTGTTTCCGCAACGCGAGTTGGATATGCAACGCGATCGAGTGAACGGAACTCCGTCATGGCGCGAGGTAGCAACGAGCGGTCCCACGGCTGCCTCGGCGTAGCGTCACCGCACGGGGCGGACTGCCGCCGGACGCTTCTCCACGCGTCGCGCGCCTCGGTCTGGTCCGGCCTGCGTCACGCGTCTCGCGCGCAGTCGCGGGCCGCGCTTCACCGCACGATGTCTTCGGGAACGCGACCGCTCCCGCGTTATAGGAGAAGGGACCGTGGGTCGCGTGGGCGGCCGATTTGGATCGTCCGCGGTCGTTCGGCACGCGATGCCAACGGACGCCTTCTCGCCATCCGGCGCCGCAGACTTCTTCGGAGAATGCCGCGTCCGCGAGCGGCCACCCGCCGATCGAGAGCTCGGCTCGCGGAGCGAGGAGACGCCGTCTTGACGCGCAAACTCTGGCGACGAAAGTGCGCTCACTTTGGTTGGCGGTCGACGTTCGAAGCGGTGACCCGCGACCCTCAAAGGCATGGCAGCCGCCCTCCCCGTGGTAGTCCCCCCCCCAGCCCCCCCGTCCCCAATGTGATCCATGGATCAAACAAATCACTGGAGAAGCCGGCGCACGGCAGCGAGAGCCGTTGTCGCGAGAGATGTCACGCGTTGGGAGCAACGCTCCTTCGCCGGCCGTGCGTGGTGGATGGGCGAGTGCTTAGTCGTCCCCGCGTCTGTCGCAGCTTGAGTTGACCGCTTGTGTCACCGCTTGTGTGACCGCTTGTGTGACCGCTTGTGTGACCGCTTGTGTCACCGCTTGTGTCACCGCTTGTGTGACCGCTTGTGTCACCGCTTGTGTCACTGCTTGTGTCACCGCTTGTGTGACCGCTTGTGTGACATTGGGCGTCGTCGGCAGTGACCAGTGTCGCGCGGCGCGAGTTCGGCGATCGTGGCCACGCGGCGGTCAACGAGCGTCGCTCCCGTGTCGTACGAGACCGCTGGCTGCGACACGAGACGGCGGTTTTGTTCGCTTTCCGTTGTGAATGCGGTCCCCGGTTGGGTGCAGCGAAATATTTAACGTGTGTTAGTGTGTGTGCGCGCGTGTCTTTGTCTGTGCGTGTGGGGAGCGGGTAGTGTCGTGGTTAGCTCGCCGCGCTACGAACCCGGCAACCCGAGTTCGATTACCGCTCACGGCCAACACCGGTGACGATTATCAGAACCGGTTCTGGGCCTCCCCTAGGTCGACTCAGCCTTAAATGATTACCTGGTGCGGTGTGTAAACGTCGTGCTGTTACGGCCTTTATTGATGCTCGCGAACAGCACTTGCCTCAACAGTCTGTTCAGGCTATATGGGGGATCTTTGTCTTTGTATGTGTACGTTGACACAATAGGGGTCACAGGTGGTGCATCGGCCACTCATCTCGGTCAGTCGACCCGTGGCACCTCCTGCGTCTGTCCCGTGACCTCCTGCCGGCGGGCGTTCTAAACTTCACGTGGCCTCAACGTGCACCTAGCCTGGCACAAGTACCGTGGCGACATCACCGCCACTTAGTGGCGAATGGCGGTTATTGTTGTTGCGTACGTTGAACTTATGTCGCGCCGTACGAAGCCAACCGCGCCAATCGGAGGTCCGGGGGCTGAGGACGGCGCTTCCCTGCGCGCTCCCTGCAGTTTGTCCCCATGCTCGTTGTCGACAATCCTCGGTGCCGATCCGCGTGGCACGGAACAAGCCGCAGCGTCGTCGACGCTGCGGCCTGAAAAAGGAGATGAAAACGGAATGTCGCAGACGCCGGGACGCTGCGTTGGGCTTCCTCGAAGCTGCTGCGACGTGACGATGTTGAACCGCCCTCACGCGTTGAGTTTTGCCCGGCAAGGTCACGCTACGATTTGGCCGCGACCAGCCTTGCGCGCCAAGGTCCACGCGACCGCCGTCTCCCCCTGATGCGTCCTCCCCCCCACCCAGCCCGGCGCTGAAGGGCGACTTCCACGGTTGTTGGATTTCTTTTCGCGCCGTACGCGTCGTAGCCGTGCTCACCGGCGTTACGGGAAGAGAGCGGAGGCCTCGTGAAAGCTGCTGTCCCCCCCCCAGTGATGAGAGACCCTCCGCTCTGAACTCCGGCGCTCGACTTGTTTTCACTTCCAAGCGTTTGTCCTGTGGGTGACCCCACCACCACCACCACCCCCACCACCCCATCTCGCTCTCTCAAACGAGTCTCTACCCTGGTCTCTCGCGTTGAACAAATTCAACGCGACTCGGATTCAGGCGACGAACTCTGGATGACCCCCCCCCCACTGCCCCTCCTCCGGAACGTCCCAGACGGTGGAGGAGCTGGAGGGCGAGCTGGGCCAGGACGTGTACCCGAGCGTGGCGGAGGAGCGGGCGCGCTGGGAGAAGGAGCTGGCCGGCCTGCGGGACGAGAGCGCCGGCCTGGCCGCCCGCCTGTGCAGCAGCGAGGACGAGCTGGGCCGCACCCGGGCCTCGGCAGCCGCCGTGCGCGAGGAGCGCGACCGCCTCCGCCGCCGGGTGAGCCGCACGCTCGCTCTCTCGCTCGCTCACTCACTCACTCGCTCGCTCGCTCGCTCGCTCGCTCGCTCTCTCTCTCTCGCTCGCTTGCACGCTCACTCTCACTCTCGCTATCTCACTCACTCACTCACTCGCTCGCTTGCACGCTCACTCTCACTCTCGCTATCTCACTCACTCACTCACTCGCTCGCTCGCTCGCTCGCTCGCTCGCTCGCTCTCTCTCTCTCGCTCGCTTGCACGCTCACTCTCACTCTCGCTATCTCACTCACTCACTCACTCGCTCGCTTGCACGCTCACGCTCACTCTCACTCACTCTCGCTCTCTTTCACTCGCTCTCTCCGCTCGCTGTCTCTCGCTCACTCTCGCTTTCGCACTCGCTCCCTCTCGCTGTCTCACTCGCTCTCTCTCGCTCACTCTCGCTCGCTCTCTCTCTCTCTCACTCTTTCGCTCTCTCACTCACTCTCTCTTTCGCTCTCCCGCCCTCTCTCTCTCTCGCTCTTCCTCGCCCTCTCTCCCACACTCTATCTCGCTCGCTCTCTTTCTCTCGCTCTATCTCGCTCTCTCGCTGTCTCTCTCACTGTCTCTCTCTGTCTCTCTCTCACTGTCTCGCTGTCTCTCTCACTGTCTCTCTCTGTCTCTCTCTCACTGTCTCGCTGTCTCTCTCACTGTCTCTCCCTGTCTCTCTCTCGCTGTCTCTCTCGCGCTCTCACAATCGTCCGCCTGCCTCATTTTCCATCCTCCTCTTGCCGCTCCATCCTGAGGTGCCATGGCGGTGAGATGTTAACTACCTCGCTTGGTACGCAGGAGGTCGTGGGTTGGATCTTGACCCTGATGCCTTTATGTATTTGTAGTTTGCGTCTCTGTCTCTCTCCCCGTGGTCGTGTGGATTTTCCTCCGGGTCCTCTGGGTTTTCTCTCCACATTTAGAATGAACAACACGAGTATTTGGCTGCTATAAATGTCCACATGATGACGGTAATCAACTTCGTTGGGCTATCATTTCTGATAGCCAGGTCGCATCTGAAAAAGAGCCATGTAGTTTAGTGGGGCCTTACCTGGCAAAATGAAAAAAAGGTTTTTATTTTTTACAGTTTATCCCCATCCTTCTCATTCTCATCCATCCTCCACCCCCCTCTCTTCACTCCCTCGTCCTCCTCCTCTACCTGGGTGTGTGTGAAGCTCCGCTCATGGTCCTCCTTCTCCTCTTCATCCTTAAATTTCGATTTAAAGCTTTCGTGACTGCAGGGCTTCATCTTCTTGGTTCTTTCGGTAAAGTCACGTAGAATGGAATAATAAAATAATACAAATATTATATTATTTTATTATGTTTTATTTTTATTACTTTATTATTTCCATTCTACGTGACTTTACCGAAAGAACCAAGAAGATGTCTCTTCATCCTTCTCCTGCTCCCCATCTTCCCCTCCATCATCCTCATCCTCCTCCATCCTTGTCACCAAACCCGCCCTTATCCTGCACCTCGTCCTCCTCAACCTGCCGCTTCCTCTTCTCCTCTTCCTCATAAATCTCTTCCTCCTCCTCCTCCTCCTGATGATGATGATGATGACGATTGTCCTCCTCGTCTTCCTCCTCCTCCATCTCATCTCCGTCTCTTGTCCACACCTCTCTACGCCTCTCTCTCATCTCGCCTCCTCACTCAGCCCCTCCGTCTCCCTCCCCGCGTCCCTCCCCGCGTCTCGACACACCGGCTGCTTGCGTCCCACATTCGCCCTCCCCGCCCTCCCCGCCCTCCCGGCCCTCCTCGCCCTCCCCGCCCTCCCCGCCCTCCCGGCCCTCCCCGCCCTCCCCGCCCGCGCGCCTCGCCACGTCTCTCCATCGTCGGTCGCCTCGCTCAGCAATTTGTGAATTTTAACGGCCGTGGATCCGCCTCGGTAACACAAAAGAAATAATGTCCGCTGAGTGGCCCCGCTACGATCGGCTGGCGGGAGGGGAGAGGTGGTTGGGAGGGGGGCGGGGGAGGGGATGCGGCCCTCTTCCCCCCCCCCCGAGGCGAGGATTAAGCGTTCAGATTTGCCCCCCGAGATGTCAATTTACTTCTGATGTGTAATTGCGCGCGATTCGAAACAGCACGCATGCATACAAATGACCCGTAATTACAATTCCTTGCGCCCCCCACCCACCACACCCCCCCCCACCCACCCACGCCACCCCCCTCACCAGGCGCCCCCCCCCACCCCGCTCCCTGGAGCACGAGCGTTATTATCTTAGCCGAGCAGTGCGGTGTCCGTGGCAGCGGGGGGTGGCGTAGCGCCTGCCTGGTGGATCGTCGTCGATGTGTCGGACGTATCCTCTGTAAGCCGTTTAGCCCGTGACATTGCTTTCTGAAAAGCTGAAAGAATATACGCACGCACGTACACACGCACGCATTATATGCTTTGCACGTACACGGCAAACACGTGAAAAATCTCGACTTAAAGCTTTCGTGACTGCAGGAATTCATATTCTTAAGCGATCGTCATCCTGATGATGACGATCGCTTGCGTCGCGATCGAAACGTCGTCGTTTTTTTGTTATTTTCTTTGAACCTATCCACGTGACTTTACCAAAAGTCCCAAAGAATACACGTCAACAATCTCAAGCTTTGCGGAGTCTTCTGTGAAACCGGCTTGGCCTTAGAAAGGACCCGTGGCCGTGGTAGGAGTGCGAGGAGCAATGTGGGTCGTTTTTTTTTGCGTTAGCCCAGGAATGTTGAACATTTTTTTGTATTGGCTACGGAAACCTTAACGCTTTAAGTGAGACGTGCATTTTTACATTGCGTTATTGTATCGCTATATATTGCGTTTATATAAGCAAGCCGCACCCGCCTGAACATTGCCTTGAGACTCAGTGAGGCTCTTTTCTGGATAAAGTAAATTATTATAATTATAATCATTATTATGATGCATTCTGCCTCCTCGCCCATTAAAAATCCCGCGTCCAGTGGGGAGATGGAGTGTTGAATTCGGCTCAGTTGTGGGAGACGGTGGCGGTCGCTTCATCCAGCACCATGGTGGCGAGATGTTAACTACCTCGCGAGGTATACAGGAGGTCGTGGGTTCGATCACGACCCTAACGCTGGAGTTTGCGTGTCTCTCTCCCCGTGGTCGTGTGGGTCTGGTTGTTTCCCTCCACATTTCGAATCGACATCGCGCGTTTAGAGATGATTTGGCCGCTCTACATTTCCATGCGACGACGATGGTGATGATGGTGAAGAGCCCACTTCGTTGAGCTAACATTTGTGGCATCCACGTCGCTTCTGAACAAGAGCTCCACGGATCTTACCTGGTGAAATAAAAAAAAAAGTTGTTTCGTTTTAGTTGAGATTGACCGTAACTCACGACGACATTTTAAGTGGCAGCAGCTGCCCACTTTACCCCCCCCCACCGACACGGAGTGCCTGCGCGTCCGTTGAGTGCGCCGCGTGGATAATCAAAATGATGAGAGAGAGAGAGAGACACGCAGACTCCAAATATACAGCCGGCGTCAGGGTAGGGAGCGAACCCACGACCTCCTGTACACCAGGCGAGGTAGTTAACATCTCCTAGCCACCGTGATGATGATCACAGAGAGAGACACGCAGACTCCAAATATACAGCAGGCGTCAGGGTAGGGAGCGAACCCACGACCTCCTGTACACCAGGCGAGGTAGTTAACATCTCCTAGCCACCGTGATGATGAGAGAGAGAGACGCAAACTCCAAATATACAGCAGATGTCAGGGTCGGGATCGAACCCACGACCTCCTGTATACCAGGCGAGGTAGTTAACATCTCCTAGCCACCGTGATGATGATCACAGAGAGAGACACGCAGACTCCAAATATACAGCAGGCGTCAGGGTAGGGAGCGAACCCACGACCTCCTGTACACCAGGCGAGGTAGTTAACATCTCCTAGCCACCGTGATGATGAGAGAGAGAGACGCAAACTCCAAATATACAGCAGATGTCAGGGTCGGGATCGAACCCACGACCTCCTGTATACCAGGCGAGGTAGTTAACATCTCCTAGCCACCGTGATGATGATCATAGAGAGAGACACGCAGACTCCAAATATACAGCAGGCGTCAGGGTAGGGAGCGAACCCACGACCTCCTGTACACCAGGCGAGGTAGTTAACATCTCCTAGCCACCGTGATGATGAGAGAGAGAGACGCAAACTCCAAATATACAGCAGATGTCAGGGTAGGGATCATACCCACGACCTCCTGTACACCAGGCGAGGTAGTTAACATCTCCTAGCCACCGTGATGATGATGACAGAGAGAGAGAGACACCGCAAACTCCAAATATACAGCAGCATGCGTCAGGGTAGGGAGCGAACCCACGACCTCCTGTGTACCAGGCGAGGTAGTCAACATCTCCTAGCCACCGTGATGATGAGAGAGAGAGACGCAAACTCCAAATATACAGCAGATGTCAGGGTCGGGATCGAACCCACGACCTCCTGTATACCAGGCGAGGTAGTTAACATCTCCTAGCCACCGTGATGATGATCACAGAGAGAGACACGCAGACTCCAAATATACAGCAGGCGTCAGGGTAGGGAGCGAACCCACGACCTCCTGTACACCAGGCGAGGTAGTTAACATCTCCTAGCCACCGTGATGATGAGAGAGAGAGACGCAAACTCCAAATATACAGCAGATGTCAGGGTCGGGATCGAACCCACGACCTCCTGTATACCAGGCGAGGTAGTTAACATCTCCTAGCCACCGTGATGATGATCACAGAGAGAGACACGCAGACTCCAAATATACAGCAGGCGTCAGGGTAGGGAGCGAACCCACGACCTCCTGTACACCAGGCGAGGTAGTTAACATCTCCTAGCCACCGTGATGATGAGAGAGAGAGACGCAAACTCCAAATATACAGCAGATGTCAGGGTAGGGATCGAACCCACGACCTCCTGTACACCAGGCGAGGTAGTTAACATCTCCTAGCCACCGTGATGATGATGACAGAGAGAGAGAGACACCGCAAACTCCAAATATACAGCAGCATGCGTCAGGGTAGGGAGCGAACCCACGACCTCCTGTGTACCAGGCGAGGTAGTCAACATCTCCTAGCCACCGTGATGATGATGACATAGAGAGACACGCAAACTCCAAATATACAGCAGATGTCAGGGTAGGGATCTAACCCACGACCTCCTGTACACCAGGCAAGGTAGTTAACATCTCCTAGCCACCGTGATGATGAGAGAGAGAGACGTAAACTCCAAATATACAGCAGGCGTCAGGGTAGGGATCGAACCCACGACCTCCTGTATACCAGGCAAGGTAGTTAACATCTCCTAGCCACCGTGATGATGAGAGAGAGACGCAAACTCCAAATATACAGCAGATGTCAGGGTCGGGATCGAACCCACGACCTCCTGTGTACCAGGCGAGGTAGTTAACATCTCCTAGCCACCGTGATGTTGATGACAGAGAGAGACACGCAGACTCCAAATATACAGCAGGCGTCAGGGTAGGGATCTAACCCACGACCTCCTGTATACCAGGCGAGGTAGTTAACATCTCCTAGCCACCGTGATGATGAGAGAGAGACGCAGACTCCAAATATACAGCAGGCATCACGGTCGAACGACCGACCTCCTGTACACCAGGCGAGGTAGTTAACATCTCCTTGCCACCGCGGAGGGCTGTAGCGTCGCGGCGTCGAACGGACGGGCGGTGCTAAAGGGCTGGGTTGGTCGTCCTCTCTGTCCCCCCCCTCTGTCTCTGTCTCTCTCTCTCCGTGCGCGGGCTGGGGGAGGTCCAGGTGCGCGAACTGCAGACTCGCCTGCAGAGCGTTCAGGCGGCGGCGCCGGCCAGCCCCGGCCGCCTGGGCCCCACGAGCCGAGCGGTCAACCCCAGCACGGGCGAGCTGAGCACGAGCAGCAGCAGCAACGACCTGCCCGTCGCCAAGGCAACGCACGCACGCGCGCACACACGCACACATACACACGCACGCACACGCACGCACATGCACACACACGCACGCACACGCACGCGCATTTTTTTCGGTACCGTGGCACCAACGGGACCAATGCGAGATGGGGGGAGCGGCTTTTGCGGCACAGTTTTTGGCGCCAGCTACCGCAGAGTTGCGGCGGCCGTGGCCCTACGGTTCTCCGCGGTTTAACCGAAGTGTCTTTTAAAATAAATAAATCTATATCAACGGCGCAATTTACTTCGGTCGGCGGTCGGCGTCCGAAGCGGCAGACTGCGGCCCTCAAAGGAACCTGATCGCCCACACCACCACCACCACCGCCCCCACCACCACAACCACCGCCACCACCACCGCCCCCACCACAACCGCCACCACCGCCCCCACCACCACAACCACCGCCACCACCACCGCCCCCACCACCACCGCCACCACCGCCCCCACCACCACAACCACCACCGCCGTCACCACCACCACCACCGCCGCCAACACCGCCACCACCACCATGATCCACGGATCAAACAAATCACTCGACACACGCCGGTGTATGGCAGAGAGAGCGAGTCGATGCGAACGCTGTCGCAAGAGGTCACGCGACGTTTGGCGCGGCAAGGGTCCTCCGCCGCCCGTGCGTGCCGAACGAGCCGAGGCCTCTCCAAGCGAAGTGAACGCCGAGCCGCTGGCGTGCGCTCCGAGGTTCGGCGGACGATGCGTCTCCTCCTCTGTCATCCTTCCTCCTCCTCCTCCCGCCTCTCTTCACGCGCAAGAAACTGAAGCGTTTCTGGCCCATCCCTCCAGCGCTTCCTTCCGGGGAGCGCTGCGACATCAACAGCGTTTTCGATTTAAAGCTTTCGTGACTGCAGGGATTCATCTTCTTGGTTCTTTCGGTAAAGTCACGTAGAAGGGAAGTAATAAAATAACAAAAATAAAACATAATAAAATAATTCTCACGACGTTTCGGCCACAACGCAAGCAGCCGTCCTCAGGTGAAGACGCTGTCTCCCCGACAGACCTGGTCTTCACCTGAGGACGGCTGCTTGCGTTGTGGCCGAAACGTCGTGAGAATTATTTTATTATGTTTTATTTTTATTATTTTATTACTTCCCTTCTACGTGACTTTACCGAAAGAACCAAGAAGATCAGCAGCGTTGTTTCGAGGCTAAACCTCTGGAGCCGTTTCGACGTGCAGCGTCTCATCGGCAGAGCCGGCCTGGTCTTGAAGCAACGCCGGCCAACCGCCGACCTCGCGGTCAACGGCTTCATCTCAATTACAATCGATTTGCACTCTCTCCATGAACGCGTCGATGCGGATCGATCGAACCGATCGATCGATTGATCGATCGACGGACGTGAAATTTACAACCGCGCCGCGATTCAGCGGAAGCCCGGAACGGAAGCGCGGACGGCGGAGGGAGCGGCACGAGGACGTGCAGTGACGGTGCGCCGGAGATCATCCGCGGCCAGTCGGGGCCACCGCTGCCGATAATGACAATCTGCGGTCGCGCAGCGGATCGTCAGAGTGGGTTGCGCCACGAGGCTGCTCTTGGTGAAGCGCGACACCAACCGGCGTGTCACTTGTCTGTGTGTGTGTCTGTGTGTGTGTGTCACGTGTCTGTGTGTGTCGCGTGTCTGTTCGTGTGTGTCTGTGTGTGTGTCGCGTGTCTGTGTGTGTCGCATGTCTGTGCGTGTGTGCCTGTGTGTGTGTCGCGTGTCTGTGTGTGTCACGTGTCTGTGCGTGTGTGTCTGTGTGTGTGTCACGTGTCTGTGTGTGTCGCGTGTCTGTGCGTGTGTGGCTGTGTGTGTGTCGCGTGTCTGTGTGTGTCGCGTGTCTGTGCGTGTGTGGCTGTGTGTGTGTCGCGTGTCTGTGTGTGTCGCGTGTCTGTGCGTGTGTGGCTGTGTGTGTGACGCGTGTCTGTGTGTGTCGCGTGTCTGTGCGTGTGTGGCTGTGTGTGTGTCGCGTGTCTGTGTGTGTCGCGTGTCCTGTGCGTGTGTGGCTGCGTGTGTGTCGCGTGTCTGTGTGTGTCGCGTGTCTGTGCGTGTGTGGCTGTGTGTGTGTCGCGTGTCTGTGTGTGTCGCGTGTCTGTGCGTGTGTGGCTGTGCGTGTGTCGCGTGTCTGTGTGTGTGTGCCTGTGTGTGTGTCGCGTGTCTGTGTGTGTCGCGTGTCTGTGCGTGTGTGCCTGTGTGTGGTGTCGCGTGTCTGTGTGTGTCGCGTGTCTGTTCGTGTATGTCTGTGTGTGTGTCGCGTGTCTGTGTGTGTCGCGTGTCTGTGCGTGTGTGCCTGTGTGTGTGTCGCGTGTCTGTGTGTGTGTCACGTGTCTGTGTGTGTGTCTGTGCGTGTCTGTGTGTGTGTCACGTGTCTGTGTGTGCCACGTGTCTGTGTGTGTCGCGTGTTTGTGCATGTGTGTGTCGCGTGTCTGTCACGTCTGTCTGTGTGTGTGTCGCGTGTCTGTGTCTGTGCGTGTGTCTGTGTGTGTGTCGCGTGCGTGTGTCTGTGTGTGTGTCTGCGTGCGTGTGTGTCTGTGCGTGTGTCTTCGCGCGTCAGGTGGCGGAGCGAGTGAAGTTGTCCAAAACGCGTCTGGATTCCGGCTCGCCCGCCGACAGGCCTGTGCTGGGCTCCGAAATCAGCAGCATCGGGGTGAGTGCTCCAGCAGTGGATTGAGCCTGGCTGATGACAGTGATGATGATGATGATATCGGTGCTGGGCTCCGTGCATGTATTCTTCAGACCGCTGTAAATAGAATCGTCCGACTCGCATTCCGTGCCACATTTTGTGACGCTTGTCTTCACGCAGTCTCAGTGCAGCGCTTCCATCCTAGCAGTGGATTGATCACGGTGGCTAGGAGATGTTCACTACCTCGCCTGGTGTGCAGCAGGTCGTGGGTTCGACCCTGACGCCTGCTCTATATTTGGAGTTTGCGTGTCTCTCTCTCTGATCATCATCACGGTGGCGAGGAGATGGTAACTACCTCGCCTGGTATACGGGAGGTCGTGGGTTCGATCCCGACCCTGTCGCCTGCTGCTGTATATTTGGAGTTTGCGTCTATCATCATCATCATCATCACGGTGGCTAGGAGATGTTAACTACCTCGCCTGGTATGCAGGAGGTCGTGGGTTCGACCCTGATGCCTGCTGCTATATTTGGAGTCTGCGTGTCTCTCTTCCCGTGGTCGCGTGGATTTTTCTCCGGGTCCTCTGGTTTTTCCCCTCCACGTTTAGAATGTTTTGAGTATTTGGCTGCTATAAAATTACACAATGATGATGATTATAAGCCACTTCGTTGATGCTATCATTTATGACAGCCTCGTCGCTTCTGAAAAAGAGCTAAATAGCTCAGCGGAGCCTCAACTGGTAAAATAAAAAAGAGTTTCTAGTTAATTTTCATCATTGGTAGCGCAGTTTTTGGCTGCCCTTCTCGCTTGTCTGTGTGGGTTTCCCCGAAGACTCCGATGATCACAACAAGTTTGCCAGGCAGAAATACAATTGAGTGTTATTAGTTGAATAGTTTTACAAGGTTTTGAATAGTTTCACATCATGGCCGTGCGTTTTGAGTGCGTGTGTTTTGCGTGCGTGTGTTTCGTGTGTGTGCGTTTCGTGTGCGTGCGTTTCGTGTGCGTGCGTTTCGTGTGCGTGCGTTTCGTGTGCGTGCGTTTCGTGTGCGTGCGTTTGTTTCGCGTGCGTGCGTTTCGTGTGCGTGCACCTCGTCTGCGTGTGTTCCGTGTGCTCACTCGCTCGCTGGCTCGTGGTGCAGGTGTCGAGCAGCGTGGCGGAGCACTTGGCGCACTCGCTGCAGGACTGCTCTAACATCCAGGAGATCTTCCAGACGCTCTGCTCGCACGGCTCCTCCGTGTCGGAGAGCAAGCTGCGGGAGTTCGAGGTCGAGATGGAGCGGCTCAACAGGTGAGCGGCGGGGGGGCGGGGGGGTGGGGGCGGTTCTGAGCTCGCTCATGGCACCTCCGTAGAGCAGGGGTTGGTTACGTCGCAATCGCGGATACGTTGGAGTTCGTTGGCAAATTCGTCCCGTTGTCCGTGATTGTCTGCAACTCAACTGGTTTGCCCCCCCCCTCCCCCGCGTGGCGGATAAGCGGGGTACGTTTGCGGATTATATGAATTGACGTGAATAACATTTGACGAACAAAAATATGGAAACATAAATTCAACATTTTTGGGACACGTTTGTGTTTTATTTTAAAGCATCATTATCATCATCACGTCCGATTAGCACTTCCGATTAGCGCGGTTGGCTACGTACGGTGTGAAAGAAGTTCAACATACACACATACATACTCGTCCGTGTGTGTATGTGTGAAAGTAAACAAAAAAAAATTGTCCATCCATTCATTACCAAATCCACCGATTGAATGAAGGCCTTCCCTCTCGCTCCATGATGGACTTGGGAACTTTTTGCTTGCCATACTTCACCGGGCTGTTCATTGCGGGTTGGCGAAAGGTTGGTTGGGGTGGAGGGGGGGTAGGTCAAGGCGGCATATCCGGTTATCGCTCGCCGCCGATGTGACCCCGTGACCCGGAGTCTAAACTCACCACTGCACCGGCCATGCCACCACTCGTGATGTTTGTCCGAAGGTGCCAGTGAAGCTTCACGCTTGAGTCCCCCCATCCCCCCCCCAACCCCTCCCCCCCCTTCACACGGTGGTGGCCCGTCGGTTTTGCCCGCAGCCGCATCGAGCACCTCAAATCTCAGAACGACCTGCTGACGATCACGCTGGAGGAGTGCAAGAACAACGCGGAGAGGATGAGCATGCTCGTGGGCAAGCACGAGTCCAACAGCACCGCCCTGCGTCTCGCCCTGCAGTACAGGTGAGCGGCGGGCGCCAGCGGTCCCTCTGCCGCCCCCCCCCCCCCCACCCCGGTTAAGGTGGGGGAGCGACGGTGGTGGGGGCGCTTTGAACGACACGTTTCTGTATTGTGGACGATATTGGTCGCGAAAGCCTGCGCGTTCAAACTTACGGCGGACACGGGACTCCGATTAGCACGGTCGGCTACGTATGGCGCGAAAGAAGTTCAACGTACTCGCGTGCATACGACCCGAGTTGCATTCCCGCTCGTGGCCTGCCACCGGTGAGGATTTTCTGAACCGGTCCTGGGCCTCACCTAGGTCGACTCCGCCTAAAAAACGAGTACCTGGTGAGATGTTTAACCATCACCACTGGAGAGACAAAGGCGGCCGGGCGTGGTGCTGGCCACCCACTCTTCCCCGCGTCGCGTGCCGTGCCGGCCTTCATAGGTGCTACTAGCTAGCAGCACTCGCCCCGACAGTCTGTTAACGGCTACCTGGGGGATCTTTGTCTTGTGTGTGCGTGCGTGCGTCCAGTGAGCAGTGCATCGAGGCGTACGAGGCCCTCATGGCGCTGGCTGAGAGCGAGCAAGGCCTCATCCTGGGACAGTTCCAGGCCGCCGGAGTCGGCTCCGTAGGTGAGTGGGCTTCTCGTCTGCCTTGATTTGCTACTTCGAGAGAGAGAGAGAGTTGACGGGTCAAGACAAAAAATTAACCCATCAAAACAAAGTTTTTCACTATAAATCCTTTATATGCGTGGCGGCTAGAGTCCTCTCGTCCTCTGGCTTGAGATGGCTGCCACCTATGGGTCAGATGATTGCCTGCCACCATTAAGCAATTGGTAATTATATAGAATTTATTTTTTCCTAAAAAGTGTAAAATTTTGAAAAAAAGTTTCAAGAAAATTAATTGTCACGCACAACGAGTCTGCGTGCAAAATGTCAGCTCGATTGGATCACGGGAAGTGGGTTAAAAAACGACCGAAAGATTTGCACGGTCGTAAGCAAGCAAGCAAGCAAGCAAGTGAACTTAATATAAAGGATTTAAAAACATGTAGCGTCGTGTGTCAACGCGGACCCGTCGCGCGGAGGTAAAGGCGCGGCCCCGCAGACGCTCGCTCACGCCGCTGCTGGCGGAAGAGGCCTCCGCTAGGCGGAGCTTTTAGAGAGCCGCCCTCGAGAGAGAGAGAAAGAGGCTTATGCTTGGCCTACTGTGGCCCAGGCGTATTGGGAGAGTTAGGAGTGCCCACGCTTGATCCCACCGCACGCAACTCCGCTGGCGATCGGATGACTGCGATGGACTCATCTACGCTGATGGGTGGAGGGGGGGGGGGCACGGGGGGATTTAAGAAACTTGCACCGTTGTTTCAAGTGCCGCACCGGGAGATGGAATCGATCAATGGCATTGGTCAATGGAATCAAACAATCAAATAGATCAATGGGATCGATCAATACAGTCAATTAATGGAATCGATTAATGGAATCAAACAATCAAATCTGATAAATGGGATAGATCAATGCAATTGACCTGATCAATCCAATCGATCAATGTAATATACCAATGTAATCAATCAATAAAATAGACCAATCCAATTAATCAATGTAATTGATCAATCCAGTCAATCAATGGAATCGATCAATGTAATAAAAAATCTCATTTATCAATGAAATCGATCAATCCAACTGAACAATTGAATAGATCAATACAATTGATCAATGTAATCGATCAATCCAATCAATCAATGGAATCGAGCAATACCATAGAACAATGGAAGCGATCAATCCAACCGATCAATGTAATCGAATCGGATCTCATCAATGCAATCGACGACTTCTCAATCGCGGTCCCGGCACGCCGACCGTTAACCCCGCCGGCCGCGTCGCTCCGTTTCCTTCTGATCCCAAAGGGCCCCCCCACCCCCCCAACCCCCCACCCCCCCAACCCCCCAACCCCCCCCCACCCCCCCAACCCCCCCACCCCCCCACCCCCCCAACCCCCCAACCTCCCCCCCCCTACCCCCCCAACCTCCCCACCCCCCACCCCTCTACCCCCACCCCCCCCACCCCCCGTCTCCATCGGCGCGAGCAGCTGAGCAACCGAGCGGCGGTGGTGGCGGCGGCAGCGCCGAGGACGCGTCGCGGGCGCTCCGGAAGGCCCGCGAGGGCCGCCGGGTGGCGGAGGCGGCGGCCCGGGCCCTGCTGGCCAGGCTGGACGGGGTGTGCGGCGCGCCGGGCGCCGTGGGCGGCGCCCAGCCCTGGGAGAGCCTCTCCTCGCACAGCCAGACCAGGTGAGGGTCGCGGCCAGACCTGGTGGGGGTCGCGGCCAGTCTGTCGCACCCGGGTGACAAGTCGCGACGGAGGCTCGTTTGAGAGAGCGAGGTGGTGGTGGGGGCGGTGGGTGAGTCCCTCACATTTTTTTTGTTGGTTCAACAAAAATCAACTCGACCTGGAATCTGAACTCCGTGTTGTCCCATTGCCCCCATCCCCGTCGCTCCCCCCACCCCACCCACCCTGTCCGCCCACCGCCGCCAGCACGACGAGTTCGACAGCGAGCAGCTGCGACGCGGACCTGAGCAAGGAGGACGAGCAGCGGCTGCGCGACTACGCGCAGCAGCTGCGAGCCGACTGCGCCGCCGTGACGCTCACCATGCTGGAGCTGGAGAGCGTGCACCTCGACGCGCTGAGCTGCGACGTGAAGTCGCGCGGCGACGGCACCCGCCTCGACCTCGAGAACGCCGTGCTCATGCAGGAGCTCATGGCCATGAAGGTGAGACGGCCGCGCGCGCGAGAGAGAGAGGAGGGGCCCCCACCCCCCCCTACTCCCTGGGAGGAATGAGCGATCATTGATTGTCTGCCGCATGGGGCACGCTCTCTCGCTCGCTGACGGAGGGAGAGGGCGGCTCGGAAGCACGAAGAGGAACCACAGATGGGAGCGGGGAGGCAGTGGCCGGGCAATAAGCCGGCACCAAATTCGCCACGCAAAGCCACCCACCCAAATCCACCCACCCACCCATAGCCACCCACGCACCCAAATTCACACATCCACCCAAAGCCACCCAAATCCACCCACCTACCCAAATCTACCCACCTACCCAAATCCACCCACCCATCCACCCAAATCCACCCACCCAAAGCCACTCAAATTCACCCACCCACCCAAAGCCACCCAAATCCACCCACCCACCCAAATCCACCCACCCACCCAGATCCACCCAAAGCCACCCAAATCCACCCACATACCCAAATCTACCCATCCACCCAAATCCACCCACCCAAAGCCACCCAAATTCACCCACCCACCCAAAGCCACCCAAAACCACCCACCCACCCAAATCTACCCACCAACCCAAATCTACCCACCCACCCAAATCCATCCACCCACCCAAAGCCACCCAAAGCCACCCAAATACACCCACCCACCGCCACCCATCCACCCAAATGCACCCACCCAAAGCCACCCATCCACCCAAAGCCACCCAAATCCACCCACCCACTCAAAGCCACCCAAAACCATCCACCCACCCAAAGCCACCCAAATCTACACACCCATCAAAATCCACCCACCCACCCAAATCCACCCAAATCCACCCATTCACCCAAAGCCACCCACCCTCCCAAAGCCACCCAAATCTACCCACCCACCCAAAGCCACCCATGCACCCAAATCCATCCACACAAAGCCACCCATAGCCACCCAAATCCACCCATCCACCCAAAGTCACCCAAATCCATCCAAAGCCACCCACCCAAATCCACCCACCCAAAGCCACCCAAATTCACCCACCCACCCAAAGCCACCCAAAACCACCGACCCAAATCTACCCACCCACCCACCCAAATCCATCCACCCCCCCACCCATCCCCCCAAAAACCCCCACCCAAAGCCACCCAAAGCCACCCAAAGCCACCCAAAGCCACCCAAAGCCACCCAAAGCCACCCAAATCAACCCATCCACTCAAAGCCACCCACCCAAATCCACCCATCCAGCCAAAGCCACCCAAATCCACCCACCCACCCATCCACCCAAATCCACCCACCCAAAGCCACCAGAAGCCACCCAAAGCCACCCAAAGCTACCCAAAGCCATCCAAATCCACCATCCACCCAAAGCCACCCACCCATATCCACCCATCCAGCCAAAGCCACCCAAATCCACCCACCCGTCCACCCAAATCCACCCACCCAAAGCCACCCGAAGCAACCCAAATCCACCCAACCCACCCATCCACCCAAATCCACCCACCCAAAGCCACCCAAATCCACCCATCCACCCAAAGCCACCCACCCACGCAAAGCCACCCACCCACCCAAACCCACCCACGCAAAGCCACCCACCCAAAGCCACCCACCCATCCACCCACCCACCCAGAGCCATCCACCCACCCACCCACCCAAAGCCTCCTAAAGCCACCCAAATCCACCCATTCACCAAAATCCACCCATCCACCCAAATCCACCCACATAAATACACCCACCCACCCAAACACCTGCCCACCCAACCGCCCGCCCGCCCACCCACCCACCGCACCCACAAAGCTCTACGATCCTCCATATATGAAGGTGGCGTCTTCCAATTAATGAGTGTTCACACGTGGGAGGAAACCGCAGCACCCGGAGCAAGCCCCACGCCTGCGATGGGGGGGCATCACTCCGAGTACGCCACGCAGACGGAAGCGGACTCGAGTCCACGTTCTGCTGCGCCGCCTTCTCGTCTTCCTGGATTGTTGTCCTAGCGGTTGGCTGCCTCTGGCATTGGTCAAATTTGCCGTTTTGTGTTCGAATGCTCGCGGGTTATGTTAATGCCCACCTCCATCCGTCAGTCTGTCCATATAATCCATCTGTCTCTCCGCACAACGCCTCCATCTCTCTCGTCTTGCCTGTCTTTCCATCCATCCCTCTTTTCCCACCTCCATCCATTCATCTGTCTCATTTATCCACCCATCCGTCTCTCATCATAACTCCTACATCTGACTTGCCTTGCCTATATGTCTAATCATCTCTGTATTCCCACCTCCATCTGTCCCATCCATCCAACTCTCCTCACCCTCCTCCATCTATCTGTCTTGCCTGTCTCTCTGTCCATCCCTCTCTTCCCACCTTCACCAATCTGTCCACCTGTCGCTCCGTCCACCTCTCTTGCCGTGTCCGCGCGCCGGTCCATCACCCCCCCGTGACACCGGTACCCCCCCCCCCCCGCCCCGTCCCCAGGAGGAGATGGCAGAGCTGAAGGCGCAGCTCTACCTCGTGGAGAAGGAGCGGAAGGCGCTGGAGCTGAAGCTGAGCACGCGCGAGGCCCAGGAGCAGGCCTACCTCGTGCACATCGAGCACCTCAAGTCCGAGGTGGAGGAGCAGCGCGAGCAGCGGAGTCGCTCGCTCGGCTCCGGCAGCGGCGGCACCGGCGGCACCGGCGGCGGCACCGGCGCTCGTCTCAAGACGCCCAAGGTCGGCCTGACGCCGGCGGGCGCGGCGTCACCACCGCGTCGTATGTCTAGAGGGTGGTGCAGCATCGCCACCGCGTCGTATGTCTAGAGGGTGGTGCAGCGTCGCCACCGCGTCGTATGTTTAGAGGGTGGTGCAGCGTCGCCACCGCGTCGTATGTTTAGAGGGTGGTGCAGCGTTTCCACCTCGTCGTACGTTTAGAGGGTAGTGCAGCATTGCCACCACGTCATATGTTTCACAGGGTAGTGCAGCGTGGTTGCCATGGCCCTGGTGCAAAGAATTAAATGGAAATCCGCCGTCCAAGTTTCCCTCCCCTCTTCGTATATCGCCGGCGCCCAGGCTGCTCCGGCTCGTGGTGCCCCGGTGCAGTTGCACCACCTGCACACTGCCTGGGACAGACTTCCTCTGTGGGGGTCAGAGGGCACGGGGATGAGCGTGGGTGGGGAGGGGGCACGGCAGTTGAGGGCGCTAGAGAGAGTCACTCGACGAAGCCGCTCGGCAGTTTCCCCGCCGACGTTTAAGCTTTGAATATAAACTCCGACCTCTGAGCCGGGTGGTTCAGAGGTCAGGGCGCTGTGCTGGCAACAGCCGACCGACACGCCGTGCGACGTCCCTCACCCAGCGGTGGATCGAACAAACATCTGCGGAGTCTCCGCAAACGTCACCTTCACGCGAGACAAACGGACGGCGCGCAATCGCGACTCCTCCTCCACCCAGCAGTGGATGGAGCACGCCGCTGCCAACGACCGTGATTACCACGGCGACGCTCTGCGCGCGTCCCCATCCGCGGTTTCCGCCAAATCAATTTCCAGCGGCGTGGAGAGGAGAGGTTCCAATCGTCGCCATTCGTCGCCGCCCAGTGCGTTCCCGATGCTTGGCCCGCGTGTCGCGCCTTACAAACGCGGCTGCCCGTGAAAACAAAACCTCCATTCTCCTCTGATCGTTGCAGCCGTGGAAACCGCAGCGCCCGCCCCGTGCCCCCCTGACTCGTGACCCCGCCCCACCCCCGTCGACCCCTTGTTGACCCCTTGTTGACCCTCGCCCTGTGCCCCCCCCCCCACACACCCCCCTTGCCGGCCAACAGGAGAACGGAGAGACGCTGACCGCGGCGATCACTCTGGCCGAACTCCGCTCGCCGCTTCACGACAACGACCTGGCTAACGAGCTCTCCGATGCCCTCCACAGGTCAGCTGTCTGCTCATGAATCAATTTGGTCGTTGGTACTGGGACGGAGGTCGGCGGCGAGGGGGGGGCAAGCCTTGTCCTTGCTTACGTAGGGCTACCCGCCTAAGACACCTTGGGCGGGTAGCCACGTGCGCATAGCGTCGGCAGGATGTTTAAGCAAGATTTCTCTCGTCTGTATGTTGTACAGTAATACTGGGTGCTTCAAAAAGATGTTAACGCTTCTGAGAATGTGCAACAACGCCACAAGACATGTGCTGTCTCCGGGCTCTGGAGATCACCTGCAGAAGATCGCAGTGGAGACTTTTTGAGGCTATTAACGTACATGTGTTTACATGTTACAGTGTATTATTATAATACGCTCTCACGTGTTAAAAACATTTTGCAGCACCCTGTATATGCGTGACCATATTGCCCATTTGTCCTATTATTATTATTATGTACGTTGAACTTCTTTGGCACCATACTTAGCCAACTCGTGCTCATCGGAGGTGCGGGGGTGGGGGGGGAAGGACAACAAACTAAATACAACGGCAACAACAACAACGACGACGACGTCAAGTTCTAAAGAAATGAGTTTTCAATCAAGGTGATTGTCAAAGTGCGTAAGACACCAGTAGCCTTCCTAATACCGCAAGGAGGAAGAGCGTTCCAGACGGCCGCAGGAGCGAGTCGGGAAGCGCCGCGACGAGAGAGAGCGAAGTTGCCGCCCCTCTGCCGTCGCGTCTCTCGGCGTCGACCTCGGACACGAGCGGCGGCAGCGTCGCCCGGACGTCACTCATTTGAATCCGGATGGGATCCGTCGATCCGTTGAGCCCACGCGCTCGCACAAAAACAACGACCCCCCCCCCCCCCGTGTAGCCTGTAACAGACTGTAGGGGCAAGTGCTGTTTGCGAGCGCCTATGAAGGCCGGCACGGCACACGAGGGGGTGGGTGGCCAGCACCACGCCCGGCCGCCTTTGTCTCCCCAGTGGCGATGCTTTTACACACCGCACCAGCTACTCATTTGAGGCTGAGTCGACCTAGGGGAGGCCCAGGACCGGTGCAGATAATCACGACCGGTGTTGGTGGCCGCGAGCGGGAATCGAACTCGGGCCGACGAGTTTCGTTAGCGCAGCCTGAATACAAATAAGCCAAATACAAAGATCCCCTCCATATAGCCTTAATAGACAGTCGGGGCAAGTGCTGTCAGCGCGATCGCCCTTGATGCACACACGCTCGCACACCTTGGCTTCATTCAGGGGTTGACATTTCAGAATTTTCGCAACCCACCCAATATAAAATCAGAGGGCGGCCACCAGCTGTGTTCTGCAGCTCATCGGATTCCTCCAGCACGAGTAAATATTCCGATTCTGTTAGCGGTCGGCACCGCTGGGCTCCCGCAACCCAGGAGGGTCCGTCGGTGCCCGCGGGGTCCAGCAACGTCGCCGGCGGTCTTCGAATCCCCGCCCCGCCGCGTCCGTTTGCCCACCCAGCCGGAGGCAGTGGGTCGCACCGCAGTGAGTGGACGGCCCAGGCTGGCGAGCGGTGGGGTGCATTGTGGGTACGCGCCCCACCACTTCCGAGAGCACGGCGCGGAGAGCCTCTCTCTCCCATTGGTTCGCTGCAGCGAAGGCTCCTTCGGCCGGCGGTGCCGTGAGCGGCCATTGCGGGGCTGCGCCTTTTATTATTATTATTGTTATTATTGTTTAGTATTTTATTACAAATGTTTTTTTTTTATTCCGCATTATTTATTGTTTTTCTGACACTTTTTTTATTACTTTCTTATTATTTCAGATTTATTAATATTTGATTACACTTTATTATTATCATGAGTTTTATTTATTTTATTTACTAATAATTTTTATTAAAAATGAATTGCCACCGCGCCCCTCCTAGGGAGAAGAAGCTGAAGGTCCGTGTGCAGGAGCTGGTGGCGGCGCTGGAGAAGCTGACGCGGAGCAGCGAGATCAGGCACCAGCAGTCGGCCGAGTTCGTCAATGACCTCAAGCGAGCCAACAGGTGACCCCCACCCCCCCCCCACGGGTGACCCCTTGGAGTGACCTCCACGGGTGATCCCCACGGATGACCCCACGGGTGACCCCCTGGGATGACCCCTTGGGATGACCTCTTGGGTGACCCTCAGGGGTGACCCCATGGGTGACCTCCATGGGTGACCCCCATGGGTGACCCCCACAGATGACCCCCACAGATGACCCCCATATAACGCGGACGCGAATTGTATATAACGCGATTGAGTAAATGGAACCACGTCGCAGCGTGAGTAGGAATTGCACGGCTGCCCCGGCGTAGCATCATCGCACGAGGCGGGATGCTGCTGGATGCTTCTAGACGCTACCCCCACGCGCCTCGGTCTTTGTCCGGCCTGCGTGCGTGTCTCACGTGTTATCGCGCACTGTGCTTTACCCCTCTGTGTTATATATCGTTTATTATAACGCGATTTTACATCACGCGGTGTTCTTCAGGAAAGCGTTGTAGGAGAAACAGACCGTCACCTACGTGGCCGTGGCCTAACCAGAAATTTCAAATGGTGCGATTGTGCGCATGTCCGTGTGTGTCTGTGTGTGAGTCTGCGCGTGTCCGTGTGTGTTTGTGTGTGTCTGTGTGTGTGTCTGCGCGTGTCCGTGTGTGTCTGCATATGTCTGTGTATGTCTGCACGTGTCCGTGTATGTCTGTGTGTGTCTGCACGTGTCCGTGTGTGTCTGCGCGTGTTCGTGTGTGTCTGCGCGTGTCCGTGTGTCTGTGCGTGTCCGTGTGTGTCTGCGCGTGTCTTCGTCTGTCTGTGTGTGTCTGCGCGTGTCCCTGTGTGTCCGTGTGTGTCTGCGCGTGTCCGTGTGTGTCTGCGCGTGTCCGTGTGTGTCTGTGCGTATCCGTGTGTGTCTGCGCGTGTCCGTGTGTCTGAGCGTGTCTTCGTGTGTCTGTGTGTGTCTGCGCGTGTCTGTGTGTGTCTGTGTGTGTCCGTGTGTGTCTGCGCCCCTACGCCGCCCATGCCCCCGCGCAGCAACCTGATAGCGGCGTACGAGAAGACGAAGAAGAAGTACCAGAGCAAGGTGAAGAGGCTGGAGGCGCAGATGGTGTCCATGGTGGAGCGCCACGAGACGCAGGCGCGGATGCTCAAGCAGCGCATCGCCCTCCTGGAGGAGGAGAACGCTCGCCCGCCCGCCAACGAGACGTCGCTGTGACCGCGGCCGGCGGGCGGCGACCGGCGGGGGGCAACCAACGACGGGAAACAGCGGTGGCCGCAACGGCGGCGGCAACACCATTGGCGGCAACACCGGGGGCAAGAACAACGGCAGCACGTGGGGTGCCCGCCAAGGACTGCTCGCCGCTCCATCACCGCGACACGCACACACACACACAAAAAAGACAAAGATGCCCCGTGTAGCCTGTAACAGACTGTAGGGGCAAGTGCTGTTAGCGAGTAGCACCTTATGAAGGCTGGCACGGCGCACGAGGGGGGGGTGGGTGGCACAGAGATGCACGTGTTGCCTGCGCTCCCGGGAAACGCGCAACGCTGGGCCAACGTCGGGCCCGTCGCGTTGGGCCAATCGCGCGAGGTTCGGATGCGTTTGGCCACCAGCGTTGGCCCAACGTGTTCCATGCCACACTGGGGGGGGGAGGGGTGAGGGGGGGGGGTTACTCGGCCGGCCACTCACAGAGGTTAGCTGCGGGGTTTTCGAATTCAGAAATCTGCGGCACATCGGCCCTGGTTTGTCCCAGGGCCAATGTGCCGCTTCCGCATATTTTTCACATTTCGAAAAAATTGAAAAAAGTTGCCAGTCGGATGCGTCCCCTCGCCGCCCCACCGCTGTTGTAGGCTGTCGGGGCGCACGCTGTTAGCAAGCGCCTATTAAGGCCAGCACAGAGCACACCAGGGGAGCGGCGGGGGGTGGTGCCGGCCAGCGTTGCGGCTGACGCTGCTCCCTCTGGTGTCGATGTTCACCGTACGCCATCGGGAGCTCTTTTTTTCAGGCCGAGTGGACCTAGAGGAGGTGCGGGCAGGGTTTGTAGATATATGGCCACTTTTGCCGTGTGCGGGTTAAGAGACGGAATGCGGGACAAACGGGATTGGATCGCGGTGCGCGAATCGCTGTGACACAGCGCACAGATGCTCGCGTGCAAAATGCAAAAGACAAATTTCCCCCCAATGGCCTTCGACAGTCCGCTGGGGCGGAATCTGTGAGCGAGCAGCCATTCAGGCCGACACGGCACACGAGGGGGTGGGTGGCCAGCATCCACGCCCGGCCGTCTTTGTCTCCCCAATGCTGATGTTTTACACACACTGCACCAGGTACTCAATGTCAGGCGCAGGACCGGTTCGGATATTCGTCACTGATGTGGGCTGTGAGCTGGAATTAGAACTCGGGTCGCTGGGTTCGTCACGCGCTGCGCTAACCGCAGTGCCACCGCTCACGTGCAAACACACGTGCAGACACGCGCGCATTTCTGTACAAATATGGGTGTGTATTGCATGCATCCCAATTTAACTGATAACCTGCAGCTTTGTTAACCGGATTTCCAATTAATTTCCTGGTCAAATTAAGTGCCATTTACTCGATTTAAAGATTGTAAACTCAATAGAAGGTTAAAAAAAATGTTCCTACTAAAAGTATTCCTACTCGTGAACAAGGTGAAAAAGAAACACGCATTTATATTTTTTGGCGAGTGAACACACGGAGGATTTGGCGAATACGTCTTTAGTGCGATAAAAGTTCCACCTTTGACAGATCGCATCCAATCAGAAGGTTACTTTGCAATACGCAGAACGCGACAGGTGCCGTCCAATCACAGGCAGCGACGATCGGGAAGCTGCTGTGAAATGCGCAACACGTGACAGGTTCCGTCCAATTGCCGGTGGCTACAATCACGACGTTGGTGTAAAAGCACAGAGCGGCACACAATGGCCAGTTAGTAGTCGTTACAGAGACGACGATTGTGAGTACGTCGGGAAAAGCAGCAATGTTGAAGTGCAAGGCGATCAGTTTGAAAACTAATTTTTGTAAAACTGATTTTTGTGTATTCTTGGTTCTTCCGGTAAAGTCACGTAGAAGGGAAATCATAACATAAAATTTAAAAAATAAAATTCTCACGACGTTTCCATTGCAACACAAACAATCATCATCCTTGATGATGAGAATTGTATTGTTTTAAATATAATTATTTTATTATTTCCCTTCTACGTGACTTTACCGAAAGAACCAAGAATATGAATCCCTGCAGTCACGAAAGCTTTAAATTGCTTTTTGTGTGTTTAGTTTGTCGTCCTTCACCCGCACCTCCGGTTAGCCCTGGTTGGCTACGTACGGTGCGAAAGAAGTTCAACATACCATACCCACACCTCCGGTTAGCGCGGTTGGCCACGCACGTACAGACGGTCTTCAGCGGGTAATTCCAGTCCAGTATTTGCCGATATATTTTGCGTTTGTGGGCCGTGAATGCAGGCAAAACGGATTTCTCTCCCCTTTTGGAATGGCATCGCGGGATCTTCAACGTGCCAGTATAAACACACACGCGCAGTATTAGCCACGTCCCGTTCCGGTGACGCCTGCAAGTTGCAGGATGTTTTTTTTAAGACGTCGTTACTCGCCGCAGAGAACCACGGTGGACGTGATCGCCGCCACTCTATGAAGAGCCAGCGCCAAAACTGCCCCGTACCCTGTCCCGCGTGGCCTTTCATTCCCGATTCCCGTTCCGTTCACGTCCAACTACGTGAACGGAATGGAATCAGAAACTGAACCGTACGTGCGTGTACGCCACCGTGCGTCATCGTACGCGTACGCTATCCATTTTTCTTCCGATTCCGTTTTGATGACGTACACATACGTACGTGTACGTCATATGTCACGTAGGATGACGTATACTGACGACCACGTAGGATGACGTACACATACATATGTGTACGTCATAGTACACGCACGTCAGCCCATGTCACGTAAGATGACGTACACCGAAGATCACCTAGGATGACGTACACGTACGTACGTGTACGTCATTGGAACGGGTTAAAGAGTTAACCAGGTCGGCCTGCCGGGTTCCGAGCCTCGAACCTCTGTCAAAAGCGGCACACCCCTGGGCCGCGTCGTCGCCCCCGATGAAATAACGATCGCGATTGTTTTTTTTTTTTGTTACGTCACGCCCTTTGCGTTCAGGGTGTCCTCGGCCATTGTAACTTTCGCCAACTTGTGCGACGAGCGTTCGTCTGCGTTTAATCGCGCTTCAAACGAAACTAAAAGGCTCCTTTCGGGGAGAAGGAAAAAATTGGCGGAGATATTTCCCCCACGTTGGTGGCCAATTCGGCCGCCAAACGCCACATCTCTGGCTGGCGCCAGCCGTCCGGCGTCTCTGCATCGCGGCTGCCTGCGATCCACCGCTGCGCAGAGGGGAGGTTGGTGGTTCACCGCACCTTCCCGTCGGCGTCGAGGAGGAGCCGTAACCCCCTGATCTCGCCAGGAGAGGGCAGCGCAGCAAAGGGTGGACCAATCTCCACCATTATTCCATCCGTACGGGGAACAGAACGTTGGCCCCTCGCCAGAGGTCGCAACCGGGTACCCAATACCCGCACCCTACCCGATACCTGGCTACCCGTACCCGGCCGGGTTCGGGTACGGGTACCCGTTTGCGACCCTGGTGCGGCCGGGTACGGGTAGGCCGTGAGTCACTGGTGAGTCACCGTTTGTCACTCATTTCGGGTAGCGCACGGGTACGGCCGGGTACGGGTATGGTACAGGTACCCATTTGCGACCCTGGTGCGGCCGGGTACGGGTACGGAATCAAAACCCGTTTCCGACCTCTGCCCCTCGCTCACACGCGTGGGTTTTCCCTCCGGGTGATTCAGGTTTGCTCCCGCGTGCAGAAATAAAAACCACTCGCATCGTAAATCGGCTCAGACCGTCTTAAAATAAAATAAATCCCCAATGTAGCAGGACCATCCTGAAACGAGTCACTGGAGCTCGTTTTGGCTTTACTGGATGCATGGAAGGAGGGATAAGAAATGAATAGCAGTGGTCGTCTTAAAATTCTGATGCCAGCTTTCGCTGTGGGCATGGAGTGCGTGCAACACACAACGGGGCGGGCACGTCCACGCGGAGAGCAGCGCTTGTAATTAATGTAAATATAAGCCTCGACTTGCAAACCAACTTTTGCACGCACAGGAGTATGCAAGAGATTCGTAGGAAGTCATTTCAAGTTACGCGCGTGCGTGCGCGTGTGTGTGTGCGCACGTGTGTGTGCGTGTGTGTGCGCGTGCATGTGTGCGTGTGTGTGCGTGTGTGTATGTGTGTGCGCGTGCAGCGCTCGGCAGGGCGAGAGACGTGCATCTCGCGACGTGACGATTGACGAATCGGGAATGCGTTCAATCTCTCGCGCGTACGACCCTGCGCCCGCGCGCGTACCGGCAGCGGTGCGTCTCCCCCCCCCCCCCCCCCCCCCACTTTAATCCACGTCGCGCAATCGTCGCCACGTCCTGAGCCGAAGAATCCGTCCGGAGCTTCCGCAGTGCGTGCGTGAACCACAGGGAGCTGCAACAAGACCAGCCCGTGTGAGCGAAGTGGACGCCACGGATCCCTTCAAGTGACCTCTGACCCACACAGTGGAGACGGTCATCTCCCCTGCGCTTGAGAACCCGGTGTGACCACAGGCCACTGACTGGATTCGAACCCAGGTGGAGGTCAGCCGGCTCAGCGCTCCGAGGCTGCAGGGCAAAAGATTCCCACAGGGGCGGCCTCTCCAAGCCGCCTCTCTCTTTCATTCGCAGTCTCGTCAAAGCAGAGCGCATTTCTGCACATTTGGCAGATGCTACGGAATTATATAAATCTAAGCACGCCATATAAAAAAAAAATTATAAGATTCCCCCTAATAGCCATGCAAACTCCTGGGACAAAGTGCTATTAGTGAGCATCTTGTCTTCCCAATGCTGATGCTTACACACGCGCACCAGATACTCATTCAGTGTTAAATGGTTTCCTGGTGTGCGCGTGTGTCAGTATTGGGTGTGGGGAGCGGTGGTGCAGCGGTTAGCGCGAGGCTGCGCCACGAAACCGGCGACCCGAGTTCGAATCCCGCTCACGGCCAACACCGGTGACGTTTATCTGAATCTGTCATGGGCCTCCCCTAGGTAGACTCAGCCTCAAATGAGTACTTGGTGCGGTGTGTAAAAAAAGACATCGCCACTGGGGACACAAAGGTGGCCGGGCGTGGTGTTGGTCACCCACCCCCTCGTGTGCCACGGTGCCGGCCTTCATAGGTGCTCGCTAACAGCACTTGCCCCAACAGTCTGTTCAGGCTATATGGGATGGTGGGGATCTTTGTCTTTGTCGTCATCGGGTCCTCTGTCGAGGTGAACTCGACTTAGGGCTTGCCCCAGTACAAGTCAGATCCCCACTTGCCGCCGATGACCGACAGTCGAACGCACACTCATAGTTCTTTCGGTAAAGTCACCATGTAGGTAAAAAATGAAATAAAAATTAATAAAAAATAAAAATAATAAAAATCATTTTTTACCTACGTGATTTTACCGAAAGAACTAAGGTTATGAATCCTTGCAGTCACGAAAGCTTCAAATCTAGAGTCGAACTCACGTCAGCGCACACACACACACGTGCATCGACCGGTCTGTGACGACTCTTTTCATAGTGGGACACTTGCAGACGTGGCTGCTTCATTGTTATGTAGTTGTACATATATTTTTATAAGACGCCTTTATGCAGATCATAGCGTATATATATGTGTGTGTGTGTACTTTCTGTCGGGTGGAGGGAAGCGGATGCAAGCGGATGCAAGCGGATGCAGAGATGCCAACTTGGCTCGTAGTGACGCGTGGCGCGTTGTTAACGGTTCCGAACCAAAGTGGCTTCATTTCGCAGTGGTCTGTCCCTCTCCAATCCTTCAAATCCCCCCCTCCCCACCCCGCCTCTGTAAGATGGGCCGTGTCAGCGATATGAAACGCCAGGGCTCTGGGTGACGAGTCCAACGCCTTGCTGAGCAATCGACAGTCCCGTTTTGGATTATTTTTTTTGCTTTGCCTAAACATGGAGCGCCGTGGCGACGAGATGTTAACTACCTCGCCTGGTATGCAGGAGGTCGTGGCTTCGATCTCCCGACCCTGACGATGCCTGCTGTGTATTTGGAGTTTGCGGTGTCCGTCTCTCTCTCCGTGGCCGCGTGGATTTTTCTCCCGGGTCCTCCCGCTTCTTTTTCTTCCCACGTCCGCATTTCGAGTCAACGTCACCACGCATTGGCTGCTGATGCTGCTATGATGATGATGATGATTGTGATGATTAGTCGCCACTTCGTCTGAGCTATTATTTGTGATAGCCAGGTCGCAGCTGCATAGCTCAGTGGGCCTTACCTGGTCAAAATAAAATAAAATTCGCTTATCTTCTTGGTTCTTTCGGTAAAGTCACGTAGAAGGGAAGTAATAAAATAATAAAAATAAAACATAATAAAATAATTGTCGCCTCGACAGACCTGGTTTCACCTGAGGACGGCTGCTTGCGTTGTGGCCGAAACGTCGTGAGAATTATTTTATTATGTTTTATTTTTATTATTGTATTACTTCCCTTCTACGTGACTTTACCGAAAGAACCAAGAAGATGAATCCCTGCAGTCACGAAAGCTTTAAATCGAAAAATTCGCTTAGTTGAAGTTTAAACAAATCTGCGCTGGACTTCCACTTTGCTTCCCCGTCTCTGCTGAAGCTCTCTCGTGACGGCCTTGCAGACCTTCCCATTGGCACCGGGCCCCTGGAACGCATGGCCCGGCACAAGGAGACAACCCTGAGCTCAGATGTCCCACGGCAAAGTTGTTGTCGAGCCCACGTGCCCAGTAAATGTGCAGCGTCGGGGGGGGGGGGGACAAACGTTAGCCCAACGTTGACCCAACGTTGACCCAACGTTGGCGCGACGTTGGCCCGCTTCCTGGGGCAGTCGGCGTGCGTCAAGCTCTCTGGCTCACGCGGCCGTACAGACATCGCTCCCGTCTCAAACATAAAAGCCCGTCTGCTTAGATGCGCTCACACCTTATCCCCCCCCGCCCGCCACCCACCCAAAGACAAGGGGGTGCTTCAACTATATTTTAATTATTTTAATTAAGTATAATTAATTAAAATAAGTACAATTGACTGAAATTTTGCATCATAATTAATTAATTGTAATTAAGTAAAACTATCGTGAATGAAATTATCAACATTTAATTATTCAAATGACAATAATTTTTATTAGTTTAATTAATTACAATTAATTAAAATGTATTATAATTATTAACTGAAGTTACTAATTACAATTATGATTGTTATTTAAAAAATGAAACTTTCTGCCGAGGGTTCAAGTTCATTTATTAGGTATAGCCCTGTGAGCCATTCGGCTCTTGAATCGGGTGCAACCGCAACAAACAAAAAACATGAACAAGAAAACATCTTAAAGTGAATATGTAACTGAGTGCAAACTGAAAATCCAGGGGAAAAAACCCAGCAAAAATTCCAGAAAAAAGCACCGTACACCAACGCTGTGTGCAAAATTCCCAACCAAAAAACTTTTCGAAATCACCAAAATAAAGCCATAAAAGCAATGTAACAGTGATCATAGGAACTGTGACCGAATCTTCACAATAAACGACAAACAACATGTACCACCAAACCCTGCAGCCATAGCTGGCTGCATAGTCACTCCACAACAGCAGGAGCATCAGTCGGAGTATCAAATGTTTCAATGCAACTTTAAGTTCAGCGTGGCCAGCACCTCCACCACCACTTTGCCGACGAGTTTCAAGACGTCGTCCACTTATTTATATATTTATGTGTGCATATAATATATTATTTATATCTACGTATATAAATGTGTTTATATATTTGTAATAAATATTTAAATATTCATATATTTATATTCATATATTCATTTATATATAAATATAAATGCACACATATGAATATATAACTATATAAACATTTATATATTTTCAAATGTAAACATATTTATATATATACATTCATAAATATTTATATGTATAAATACACATCAATAAACATTCACGAACAAAAAACAGATGTCGCTATTAGTTGTTGTCAAGGCCGCGTGGCCAGTGAACGTGACTTGCCCTCGAGACCCAAGAGGATGAATCCCTGCTGCGAAAGCTTCAAATTAAGACGTTTTAAAACACGTAAGGCTTTCGCGTCCAATATTATTCATAATATAGGTTTTTGGGTTAGATCGCGTTACTTATAAATGTGTCGTAACCCTCCACCACCCGACACGGCCAACCAGTAAAACACGTGTCACGTTTACAAAAGGACGAATTAATTCACTTCTTTAGCCCACCGGTGTGTCGAAGAGCGAATCAACATCAGTGAATGATTTTGTCCTTTTGTCAACGCGACACATTTTTTTACTGTTTGGCCGTGTCGGGTGGTGGAGGGTTACGACACATTTATAAATAACGCGATCTAACCCAAAAACCTTTTATTATGAACACGATGTATTAGTTGGCTGCTGCTGCAGGCTGCTGCTGCTGTTGTTGTTGTTGTTGCTGTTGTTGTTGTGAATGAGCGGCGGGCGTGGTGGTGAACTCTGCTTCTGTCTCGTCTTGCTGCTCGGCGCCCTCGCAGGGGAGAGAGGGAAGTTGGTGGGGCGGTGTGGGGGGGGGCTTGTGTGGGTTGTTTTATAAATAAATAAGTAAACGATGACAACATTTGTGTCTTCCTTTAGAAGTTTGGGGGGGGGGGTCAGATGGGGAAGGTCAGGGGGGGGTCAGGTGGGGAAGGTCAGGGGGGGGTCAGGTGGGGAAGGTCAGGGGGGGTCAGGTGGGGAAGGTCAGGGGGGGGTCAGATGGGGAAGGTCAGGGGGGGGTCAGGTGGGGAAGGTCAGGTGGGGAAGGTCAGGGGGGGGTCAGGTGGGGAAGGTCAGGGGGGGGTCAGGTGGGGAAGGTCAGGGGGGGGGTCAGGTGGGGAAGGTCAGGGGGGGGTCAGGTGGGGAAGGTCAGGGGGGGTCAGGTGGGGGGAGGGGGTCAGGTGGGGGGGGTCAGGTGGGGGGGGGTCAGGTGGGTGGGGTCAGGTGGGGGGGGGGGGTCAGGTGGGGGGGGGGTCAGGTGGGGGGGGTTCTCATCCGACAAGTCGTCACGCCACCCCGCCGATGCGTCGATCCTCCTGCCCGGCTGTTGCCGGAATAACGCGTGGTGGTGGTGGTGGCGGTGGTGGTGGCGGTTGTGGTGGTGGTGGCGGTGGTGGTGGTGGTGGTGGCGGTGGTGGTGGTGGCGGTGGTGGCGCACACTGGGCTCGCGGTCCACAATGACCCATAGAGACCCATAGAGACACACAGTGACCCACAGAGACCCAGAGATATGTAGTGACACACAGTGACCCATAGAGACCCATAGAGACACGTAGAGACACGTAGAGACACAGTGACCCATAGAGACCCACAGTG